TGCTAGAGGATGAGACTTGATTTTCAGATGGTGAGTTCAAGGCCCACCTTAGATATACAGCTTACTTAATAAAAACAAAAGAAACCAAACCAAAAAACTCCTAGAGTAAATTAAGGAGACGAATAAATGCAACATGGGATCCTAGATTAGACGACGAAGCAGAAAAAGAACAATCATGGAAAATCTGTGAAATTCAAGTAAAGTTTGTGGAACGATTGGTTAATAGTATTGTATCAGTGTTAATTTCCTAACAAATAATGGTACTATGGTTATGGAAAAAGACTTTTGCAGATTTTTATGAAGGATATATGGGAACTCTCTGCTATGTTTGCAACTTTTCTGTAAGTCTGAAATTGGTTCAAAATGCCACGTTTGAACATTTTAACATTCGCTTATTATCAAATAAAGGATTAAGTCCCAATCTACCTCTCAGCACAATGTAGATGCTCGCCACAGTGTTGCTGCCATTAACTGGTGCCAGAACTCTTTGCCAATAACTGGAATTAGAAAATGTTGTAAAAAAAGAAAGACACTTGGGCGCCTGGGTGGCTCAGTCGGTTAAGTGTCTGCCTTCAGCTCAGGTCATGATCCTGGGGTCCTGGGATCCAATCCTGCATCGGGCTCCCTGCTCAGTGGGGAGCCTGTTTCTCTCTCTACCTGCCGCTCCCTCTGCTTGTGCTCTCTCTGTGTCAAATAAATAAAATGTTTTTTAAAAAGATTTTATTGGGGCACCTGGGTGGCTCAGTGGGTTAAAACCTCTGCCTTCGGCTCAGGTCATGATCCCAGGGTCCTGGGATCGAGCCCCACATCGGGCTCTCTCCTCAGCGGGGAGCCTGCTTCCTCCTCTCTCTCTGCCTGCCTCTCCGCCTACTTGTGATCTCTGTCAAATAAATAAATAAAATCTTTTAAAAAAAAAGATTTTATTTATTTATTTGACAGAGAGAGAGATCACAAGCAGGCGGAGAGGCAGGCAAGGGGGGTGGGGAGCAGGCTCCCTGCTGAGCAGAGAGCCGGATCCCGGGCTCCATCCCAGGACCCTGAGATCATGACCTGAGCTGAAGGCAGAGACTTAACCCTCTGAGCCATCCAGGCGCCCCCAAATAAATAAAATCTTAAAAAAAAAGATATTAAAGTAAAGAGTCTTCTGACACAATTGTCTCCTGATGGAAAAAAAAAGGAAAAAGTTAAGCATCCACTTATCACACAACCCAGCAAGCCCATTCTTAGCTAATTATTTAGGAGACCTGAAAACATGTTCATACGAAACCATGTACATGGATTTTTATTACAGCTTTATTCACAATCACCAAAAAACGAAAAGAACTCAAATGAATGGAACAACAAATGAGCATCGGTCCATGGCTTGGAATAGTACCGACCGACACAATAAGAATGAACCTTCGATGCATTATGCTAAGTGACAGAAGCCAGATTCCCCAGACTCTGGACTGGGTGATTTCATTTATTTGACATTTTAGGAAAAGCAAAACTGCAGGGACGGGGGTGGGAGTAGAAAACAGAGCAGTGGTTTCCAGGAGCTGGAAGAAGGGAAGCAGTTGACTACGAAGGGCAGGAGGCAACTTTCAAGGACTGCTAGAACTTTCCTATGTTTTGATTTGCACTCGCAGTGATGTGACCGGGTGGATGTTGGCCAGAACTCAGAAGTGTACCCCATGAAGGGTAAATTTTATTGTGTGTCAACTCAAGCTCAATGAACATGACAGAACAAAAGAGTCGGCTCCCCCAAATGTTCATTAATTATAGGCAGACAATAACTCTACAGTGGAGAAACCCAGCAGACACTACCCTAACCAAGTGATCCAAGTTTCCATCGCCTGCAGTGAGACATATCACATGCCTCTGATATGACAGGATGAGAAGGGAATTTCACCTCTGTGGTATCCTCCACTCCAAAAAAACCCTCTATAATCTCTATGTAGTCAAGATAAAACACCAGATAAACAGAGGTGCGGTCTACAACATAAATGACCAGTATTCTTCAAAAATGCCGAGGTCATGAGGTGCCTGAGGGGTTCAGACAGTTAAGCGTGTACCTTTGGCTCAGGTTATGATCCTGGGGTCCTAGGTTCGAGCCCCGCATTGGTCTCCCTGCTCAGTGCGGAGTCAGCTTCTCCCTTCCCTCTGCCCCTCCTCGCCCCAACACAGGCGCGCACCAAGAACTTTTTTTTAAAAAGTAACAAATGAAGATGCTGTTACAACATGGGAATGAAGGGAATGATACAGAGGAATGGGAGAAACTGTTTCCAGTTGCTGCTGTAACAAATTACTACAAATTTAGGGGAGCCTGGGTGGCTCAGTGGGTTAAAGCCTCTGCCTTCTGCTCGGGTCATGATCCCAGGGTTCTGGGATCGAGTCCCACATCAGGCTCCCTACTCAGCGGGGAGCCTGCTTCCCGCCCACCTCCCACCTGCCTCTCTGCTTACTTGTGATCTCTGTCAAATGAATAGATAAAATCTTAAAAAAAAAATACTACAAATTTAGTAGCTTGAAACCAAGCATATGTATTCTCATTCTGTTCTGGTACCCAGTGGTCTACCACTGAGAGATGGAGAAGCAGGCTCCCAGCTGAGCAGGGAGCCCCACTGTGCCAGTGTCCCAAGGAAAAGAGTGGGGCTGAGAGTAGTACGTGGTGTTCCTCCCAAGGTGGTCAGTTGGTTGGGGGAGTCACCAAAACCTGGGGACATGGTCTCCATGAGCTAGGGAGTGGCAAGATTCAGGATTTATCTTGTAGGACAAGAAAGGGGTGCGTTTTTGGAAAAGACAATCTAGTTACAAGTTAGGTTTTTGTAGGATCAATTGTGGGGATATTGAAATTACTAGGGATTGGGGCACCTGGGTGGCTCAGTGGGTTAAAGCCTCTGCCTTCCGCTCGGGTCATGGTCTCGGGGTCCTGGAATCGAGCCCCGCATCAGGCTCTCTGCTCGGCGGGGAGCCTGCTTCCCTTCCTCTCTCTGCCTACCTCTCTGCCTGCTTGTGATCTCTGTCAGGTGAATAAATAAAATATTTTAAAAAAGAAAAAAGAAATTACTAGGGATTAGGACAGTAGCTTTAGAATGAAGGATAGGGAGCCAGGATCTAAAAATCTTCCATGAAAAAGCAGGAGTGGCCAGAGGGAAAGGGTTAAGTTCAGTAGGGAAGGATGGGAAGTGTGAATGGGTAGCTTGAGCTTCAAAAGAGCTGAGGGAGGGGGCGCCTGGCTGGCTCCGTAAAGCTAGAGCGTGCAACTTTGGGCGTAGAGCTTACTTAAAAAAAAAAAGTCAGAGTTGCTAAGGGAGGAAGAATGGATGGTCTGGAAATGGCAAGGAGGAGCACCCATTGCAGATAGGAGGGTGTAAGACAAGGCGGCAAGAAGGAGGGACCAGTTCACACAGAGTTCAGAGACCCACAAGGAGAGGGGTCTCTCTGTGGTCTCTGAGAATGAAAGAAACATAGACGTTGACAAAGGGAGGAGCGAGACCCAGAGAAAGGGACTCAGAAATCCAGAGGGATGGTGACACAGCTTCCCAGAAATTGCAGACAGAAGAGAACGTGCCAGCATTCACAGGGAGTCATAACCTTCGTGTGTCTCTGCACTTGCCCAGCAGAGGGCGCTCGGGATTCCCCCCATTCCTACGAGTCCCGGTAACCGTTAATCCCCACCACTTCCCCCCAAGCCCATCAGATGGGGCTATTTTTGCGCGGTGTCACAGGACACCGGTGGCTGGAAGGCCATCGTCTGTCTGTCCTTTGGTCCCTTCGAGTGACCCTGCGTCATCTCCCCAGCCCACCCCACCCCCACCTGTTCCTGGCAGGCCCGGCCTCCTCCTCCGCTACCCAGGGCTCTAGCTCAGGCTTCACTGGGTCTCCGAATTCTTACCGAGAATACAGGTGGACAGGACCTTGGCGAGGAAACGGGGTGTGGGGCACACATGATCATGGCTTGCAGCTGCTGGGGGGGTCTCCAGGACGGGGCAACCACCAGGGCAGTGGCAGAGCCGACCTACAGTTACGGTCAGAAAGATATCCAGAGATACCACTCGAGAGACCCTGAGTCTTCCAGCGCCCTGAGACAGAAACTCGCAATACTTCAGGAATACAGGGAAAGAGACCCAAGGGGAGCCCCAGGGACCCTCAGGGACAGAGACACAGAGTGCTAAGAGATAATGAGAAGAGATCCTGGCAGAGGGGAGAGATAGAGACCAAGGGAGACAGATAAACTGAGACAAGCCCCTAAGAGTCAAAAGCGGAGATCCAGGGACCAAGGCACAGACAACTGATAGAGACACCCCCCCCCCCAATACAGAGTCCTCTAGAATGGCAAAACTCAGAGATAACTGACCCATAGCGATACCCAGCGAAATAGCCCTTGACAGAGACTCAACATGAAGACACAGGCAGCCGCAGAGACATACAAGATGACTAGAAAGACGTGGAAGTTTGTGACTCCAACAGAGGGGCTCAGATATTCGTAAAAAAGACACGAGAGGGGCGCATGGGTGGCTCAGTGGGTTAAGCCTCTGCCTTCGGCTCAGGTCATGATCCCGGGGTCCTGGGATCGAGCCCCGCATGGGGGGGGGGGGTCTCTGCTCAGCAGGGAGCCTGCTTCCCTTCCTCTCTCTCTGCCTTCCTCTCTGCCTACTTGTGATCTCTCTCTGTCAAATAAATAAATAAAAATCTTAAAAAAAATTTTTTTTAAATTAAAAAACAAACAAACAAAAAAAGACACGAGAGACACATGGGAAACCCGGAGAGACGCGGGGCAGAGGAAAGGGGACTGGAGAGCCGGATGGGCGCGGGGAACTGCGGCTGGGGGGAAGGGGAGGGCACCCCGGCAGAGGGCGCGCGGCCGCCCTCTGCCCCGCCGGGGTCAGGCGCCCCCTCCCCCGCGCCCTGGCCGGACGGCCGGGCTATTTTTATGCGTGGACACCGGACACCAGACTGGGGCGGCGGCGGCGGCGGCCGAGGCGGGGCCGGGCCGGGCCGGGCCGGGTCGGGCGTCGGGGCCACACGTCCGTCCGCGGGTCGCCGGGGCTGCGCGCGCCATGGAGCCGCGGTGCCCGCCGCCGTGCGGCTGCTGCGAGCGGGTGGTGCTCAACGTGGCCGGGATGCGTTTCGAGACGCGGGCACGCACCCTGAGCCGCTTCCCGGACACGCTGCTAGGGGACCCGGCACGCCGCGGCCGCTTCTACGACGGCGCGCGCCGCGAGTACTTCTTTGACCGGCACCGGCCCAGCTTCGACGCCGTGCTCTACTATTACCAGTCGGGCGGGCGGCTGCGGCGGCCGGCGCACGTGCCGCTCGACGTCTTCCTGGAGGAGGTGGCCTTTTACGGGCTGGGCACGGCGGCGCTGGCGCGCCTGCGTGAGGACGAGGGGTGCCCCATGCCGCCAGAGCGCCCCCTGCCCCGCCGCGCCTTCGCGCGCCAGCTCTGGCTGCTCTTCGAGTTCCCCGAGAGTTCGCAGGCCGCGCGCGTGCTCGCCGTCGTGTCCGTGCTCGTCATCCTCGTCTCCATCGTCGTCTTCTGCCTCGAGACGCTGCCGGACTTCCGCGACGACCGCTACAACCCGGGGCTCGCTGCGGTAGCGGCTGCCGGCCCGGTGAGGGGGCGGGGCCTGGGTGGAGAGAGGCGGGGCTCGGGCGGAGCCGAGCCGGGGTGAGGGTACGGGGAGGCGGGGCCTCTCGGGAAGGAGGGGCCCCGCTCTGGGGGGGCGGGGCACCGAGGGGCTTGTCACGATACCTGCCAGTGATGGGTGGGACGAGGGGCTCGAGAGGTGGGCAACCCGGGGACGGGGCCTGACCAGGGCAATCTACCTTTTAAAGGCGGGCTGGGGGCGGGGAAGGGATAGACTCATGGGGGCGGGCCCGAGGATCTAAGCAGGCGAACCTGCCAATCACAGGGCAGGGTTGAGACAAGGGCGGGAGGGCAGGAAGACCCCTACGTTAAGAAATGAAGCTGAGGGCTGAGAGACCGAAAATCAGGGGTCTGTTGGGCTGGCAGTAACCCACTGAAAGATGGGCTGAAGGTGGTGAGAGTGGAGCTTGAGGGAGCTGGAGACAGAGGACCGAGGTGGGAGGAATCCGTCACAAAGTCAGGCTGAGAGGGCCCTGAGAGTCAGGGCCCCAGGGCTTGGTATGCAAACAAGGTGTTTAGCCCTTGTAGTCTGGGCTTCTAGGGGCTGGTTAGGGAGGGCAGAGCACAAGAAAACATGACCTAGGTGGTGACCCTCCCCATCTGGAAAATCAAAGCTGGGGGTGGGGCTTTGGATGGAGCTTCACTCAGGAGACCTCACTTTCAGGAGCGCCCCCCCCCCCAGTGAAGGATCAGGGACCATATAAGGTCAGCTGCACAGGCATGATCCCTAGAGCTCTGGAAAGGGATCTAGGACAGCTGGGTCACTGGAGGCCTGGGGGGCAATGACTGCTGACCAATTTGTACCGAAGTAGTTGCACATTTAAATCACAAATGTGGCTGTTCCTGTGTGTCCCAGCCCTGGTGTGGTCCTCTCTGAACCCCTTCCTCCCTGCAGTTGCCCGCTTGGCTGAATGGCTCCAGCCCAGTGCCCGGACCCCTGTCTCGCATGCCCTTCGATGACCCGTTCTTTGTGGTGGAGACGTTGTGTATCTGTTGGTTCTCCTTTGAGCTACTGGTGCGCCTGGTGGCCTGCCCGAGCAAGGCAGCCTTTTTCAAGAACGTGATGAACCTCATCGATTTTGTGGCCATCCTACCCTACTTTGTGGCGCTAGGCACCGAGCTAGCCAGGCAGCGGGGTGTAGGCCAGCCGGCCATGTCCCTGGCGATCCTACGAGTCATCCGTCTAGTACGTGTCTTCCGAATCTTCAAGTTGTCCCGGCACTCAAAGGGCCTGCAGATCTTGGGCCAGACACTACGGGCCTCCATGCGTGAGCTGGGTCTCCTCATCTTCTTCCTCTTCATCGGTGTGGTCCTCTTCTCCAGCGCAGTCTACTTCGCTGAGGTTGACCGGGAAGACTCCCATTTCACCAGCATCCCCGAGTCCTTTTGGTGGGCGGTGGTCACCATGACCACAGTTGGCTATGGAGACATGGCACCCGTCACTGTGGGCGGCAAAATAGTGGGCTCCCTGTGCGCCATCGCTGGAGTGTTGACCATTTCCCTTCCCGTGCCGGTCATTGTCTCCAACTTCAGCTACTTTTACCACCGGGAGACAGACGGTGAAGAGGCTGGGATGTACAGCCATGTGGACACGCAGCCGTGTGGCCCACTGGACGGCAAGGTCAATGGGGGGTTGATGGATGGAGAGATGCCTGAGCTACCACCTCCACTCTGGGCCCCCCCTGGGAAACACTTGGTCACTGAAGTGTGAGGGACAGTTGAGGTCTGCAGGACCTCACGTTTCCTTGGAGGGAGGGAGGGAGGGGTAGAAGGGAAGGTTAGGGGGAGGGGTTTGGGTTTAGGAAGAACTAGGTTAAGTGGTAATGAGTTGGGGAACACTGAGTCTTATTGGGTCTTGAGTTGTGGTTTGGTAGCTCCCGTGGGTACTTCCTTAATTGACGGTGAATGGCCATGAGTTATAATGAGTTGATGGGGAGGCTCCTTTGGTTTGTACTACATTGGGTTGTGCAAGACTTACGGAGCCTTTCGTGGTAAGTGATGAGACAGATTTGGTCACATAGTTTTGTTTTTTAGGTCCTCATTGGGTTGGGCTGTGTTGTTGAGTCGGGTGAGTCTTGTCCAATTGCATTGTGCAGGATTCTGTAGTTTTATGAGTCCCCTAGGGCCATTTTGGATCAAGTTAGGTGGTCACCCACGGCATTGTTGGGACTGAGTGCGTGTTCATGCATGGTGTTGTGGAGTTGAGTTGAGACATGTTGGAAATTGTGTGGCTTTGTGATTCTTCTAGGGCTATGTTATTTTAGGTTCTGTGAACTTGTGAGTCACGTAGAAATACAAAGAGTCAAGTGATTGAATGTGAGCTTTCTAGGTCATGTTAGGTTAAGCTGGGCTGGAATGTATGACGGTCTGAGCCTTTCAGGGTTCTGTTGGGTTGAATTGTGTAGAGTAATGTAGCTGGAAGTTTTGGGGGGCTACACTGAGATGAATCATATCAAACTGTATAACCATGTGAGTCTCGTAGGGGTATGCTGAGGTGAATTACCCCAGGTTGTGTCATTGTGAGTCCTGTAGGAATGTTAGGTTGAGTTGGACTGTGCGTATGGGCTCCATAGGGCCATGTTAGTTTGTTTTGCATTTAGTGGTAGCACCAGGACCCAAGAATAACAACACTGGGGAGGAATCATGTATCAGGGAGAAAGTGTGGCATTAGGGACTCTGCGAGACAAACAACTGACTTGCCCAGTGTCATTTACTGTAAGGGGTGGGGCTGAGTGCTGAACCCCTAGATTCAGTTGTTTGTGCAGAGGGCCTCCGGGTGAGCTAGGAAGATGTAGACAGTCCTTCCATTTACTCTACACCTGCTTCATTTTGCCATTCATACCCTCTCTATCTGTCCTCCCCTACAGTTTTGCTTCTAACCATGGAGATCAGAGCCGCAAGGGAAGGGGAAATGGGAAGAATCTGTACTTTGTACAGGCATGATGGGAAAGAAGGGGACAGAAACCCAAATGAGGGGACAGAGACCTGGAAGTGACAAAGACTCAGAGAAAGAGAGATAGAAACCCAGAGGAGAGGGAGCAAAGACCCAAAGAGGGAGGAAGAGAGATTTAGGGAGAAGGAACCAAGGACAAAGACCCAAAGAGATAGGGAGATGGAGACCCAGAGGAGAGGGGTCAGAAACTCCAAGGAGAAAGAGAAATAGAGACCAAGAGTGGGACATGGAGATGGGGGTGTGTGTCAGACACCTGGAGAAGGACAGGCACCAGAGCTGGAGCCAAACCAGGGCGCCCCCAAGAAAGAGAACCAAAAAAGGAATAGAGAGAAAAAATTCAGTGCCTCTGAACCCAAGAGAGACGCAGAGTCTCTCTTCCACAGAATCACAAAGGGATCCCAAATCAGGGAACCCCACCCTATCTTCCCACAGCTCAGGGAGAATGTCAGGTAAACTTGGGAGCTCTATTTTCCAGGGGAGAAACTAGAGTCTTAGGGCACAGGAGTAGCTTCCTGAGGTCCCATGGCACTTCCCAGGAGCTGGGGTTTATGGCAGGCTGTCCGACTCCCCCTGTCCCATCAGCCTGCAGGTGTCCTCCAGCCGAGTTTCTCTGGAACCAAGAAACTGAGGCTTAGAGGGGAGGGTGGGATCCAAGGCAGGAAGCCAAACGTTTTCAGAGGGCTTTCAGTACCAAAAGGGCATTTGGAGGAGGAGAGGAGGATGCCTCAATCACGAACACATAGAGGGCTTCCTATGTGCCAAAACATCATCTGAAGTCCTTTACTTGTATTAATTTATTAAAACCAGTGGTTTACAGAGTGGTGGTGTTGTTATTTTCAGCTATTGGCCCCTCCCTTTTTGGGTCCAGTGAAATCTTACTTTGATGCGATGTGGCTCCTCAGAGGGGACCTGGTCTGAGGGACACACATGTCCATGGAGTCCTTCTTGGTGACTCAGAATGCAACTATGGAATTCAGTCTGGAAACCCGTGATTTAATCCAACTCCCTTTTTTATACGGAGTGACGGTAGAAGGGACAGATGGTGGGAAGAGTTTGATCAAGGTTGAAAGCCATAGAATCTGTAGGTGGTCCCTTACCTCTGAAATGGAAAGTCACATCTGGAGACAGAAATGGAGATAGACCCCCTCACGGTGACAGACACAAGGCAGAGTCTGGGTCCCAGCAGAGACCCGAAGAGGAGGAGACACATGCAGAGAGGGACCAAGACCTGGAGAGTGGGACACTGAAGGGGCAAAGGGAGAGCAGGAGGGTGGTGACCTAGGAGGGGGGAGTCAGAGACCCCCTCCAGAGATCCACAGAAGCTGGGAAGCCAACCAGAGAGGAGAGGTCAGAGATCCAGAGAGAGAGAGCAGGGCTAGAGGCCCAGACAGAGAGGGAGAGGGGGACAGAAACTGGTCTACTTTTCTTTGAAAACTTACCTGTTCGACCCCATCAGAGACCAGAAATCACATAGAGTGTCTCTGGTAGGGAGTGGGACCTGTTGGGTGCTTAGGGATGGGGTAGGGGGGGAAGTGTGGAGAGGTCAGGGAAGTAACCCCAGGGGACACTCAGACTGGGAAGTGCCCCTCCTCCACCCTTAGTAAACAACCCACAGCCACCTTCCACAGCCTTCTACCTTGCCTTGGCGGGACTGGGAAAAGGAGAGGGGGACACCCTAATCCGGGGACACCCTTCCTGCCACCTTGCCATGCTATATTTAGGCTGATGGAGGGGTATGGGATGACCCCCTGCCCCTCCCAAGATGGATATCAGCTTTCCTCCTAAAATAGCTCTGGGGGAGGGGTGGAGGGCCTGGGACTCTTAATTCCATCTGACCTCAGTCTGTCTGAGGATCTCTCTCTTCTCACTGGGTCTCTGTCCCCCTTCTGGGATTGTGTCCCCTTCTCTCGAGTGTCAAGTGTCTTTCCTCTCTCTAGGTTTTTGTCCCCCCCTTTCTCTCCATTTCTGTGCCTTTCCCATCTCCCTTTGTCACTCTTCATTTTTTTTTTTTTTCCTTCAAGCAGGTCGTTGTGTTTCCACATCAAATCCTTGTCTGAGTCCTATAATACCTTGAATTTCTCTTATCTGAGTTCAAGACAGACCCTCTCCCCAGTCCCCACCCAGGAAATTCCAGCAGAGGGGACTCTGTGGGAGAACACCCCCAACACCATATCCACTGTCTCCCAGGGCCTGGGGCCTTATCGCTGCCCAAGTCCAGCTGGTTAATGTCTGGCCTAGAGCTCCTGGGAAAGTGGGGGTGAGAGCAGAGGGTGGGAATCTGCCCAGAGATTGACACTTAATTGGCAACAGAACGCAAAGAAATCTCGGGCCCAGACTCCCGGCTCTAAGAAAAAGAGGGAGCTGCTGTCAGGACTCCTGGGTCTGAGGGAGGAGGGGGTTGGGGGTCCTGACTCCTGGGTCTGAGGGAGGAGGGCCTGGGGGAGGGTGGGGAGCAAACTCCTGGGTCTGAGGGAGGAGGGGCTTGGGGTGAGAACTCCTGAGTCTGAAGGAGGAGGGGCTGGGGTCGGATCCTGACTCCTGGGTCTGAGGGAGGAGGGGGCTGGGGATGCTGACTCCTGGGTCTGAGGGAGGAGGGGGCTGGGGGTGCCCAGACTCCTGATTCTGAGGGAGGAGGGGCTGGGGGTGAGAACTCATGGGTCTGAGGGAGGAGGGGCTGGGGGCGGGTCCTGACTCCTGGGTCTGAGCGAGGAGGGACTGGGGGTCAGAACTCCTGGGTCTGAGGGAACCCGGGGCTGGCGCCTGGCCTCCCGGGGCTGAGACCGGCCAGTTGCTGAGTGAGCCAGGCCGGCCTTCCGAGGTCCCAGCACGCGTCTGGAAGGCGGGATCCCCCGGCCCCTCCTCCGCCGTCGGGCACCGCCCCGCCCCCGCCCCCGCCCGGGCCAGCGGGAGAGTGTGCGGCGAGGAGCCGGCGGACGAGCGGGCGTCCCTGCAGCCGACGAGCGGAAGGAGGAGCCGCGCCGCGCTAGGGGCAGCGGAGAAGCCGAAGAGGGCGCCCCAGGTAAGAGCCTCCGCGCCTCCTTCCCCGGGATTCTGGCGGCTGGGTCGCCCTGCCCCCGGGTAGGGAGGGACGGGGGCGGGGCCAGAGGGGGCGGGGCTTGGCGGAGGAAACTGAGGCAGGAGCGAAGTCCTCCAGATATGCAGCCGGTTACCCCCAGAGGGGTCTCAGGAGACCATCCCCCCAGCTCGGATCTTCTTTGGGAGGAGGGCTCTGGGAGTACGTAATTCTGGATACCTGGGGAAGAGAGCCCTGAACTCCAGAGCTCCCAGGTCTGAGGGAGGAGGCGCTGGGGGTCTGGACTGCTCGGGCTCTCAGGGAGGAGGGTGCTGGGCTCCTGGACGCCAGCACGTGAGAGAGGGAGCTGGAGATCTAGACTCCTGAAGGAGGAGGAGGCGGGGAACCAGGACTTTCGGGTCTGAGTGAGGTAGCGGCAGGGAACAGGGACTTCTGGTCTGAGGGAGGAGGTAGCTGACTTCTGGTCCTGGTTGGATCGGCATCGTTGGGTCTCTTCACACCCTTCTTTCCATTTCCCCATCTCGGAGCCAAGGCAGGCAGCCACTCCAGGTATGTGCGGTAGACGTCTTGGACGGGCCCCGGCCTGTCCTGTGAGGATAGAACATTCCAGGAAGCAGCCTCAGGGACCCAGGGCTTCTTGAGTGTGGGCCCTCAGGGACCCGGGTGTCCAGACCAGCGCCACCCCCGCCCTGTCTGGGAGATGAATGGGCCGTGGAGGATGTAATTTTTTCCAGCCTCCTCTATCCTCCCCACTCCGCCCCTACCCTCCCAACCCCCGCCTCTCCCCTCACCTCCCCCATCTGCTTCCCATCCCAGCCAGGAGCCATCACCTGGTCAGGGAAGGGGCCTCTGGGAAGGGGGCGCGGCCTTGACTCTTGGGTACCCTGCACTTTAAGAGGAACGCTGGGAAGGGGAGTGTTCAGGCCCCCTCCCCCACTTGCTCACACAACCTGCCTGTTCCCTTCTTCCCCTAGGTGGCTGCCCCTTCTCTCTCCTGAGATGTCAGGAAAGAGGGGACCACCTGTGTCCCCCACAGGGGCCCCCCAGAGCCTGGGGGCCCCCAGCACTGGAGCCTGGAGGTGGACGAGGTGCTGACAGGTCTGGTAACCACCTGCTGCTTCCTACTTCTCTCCACACCACTTTCCCAGAACTACAGACTTCCAGAATATTGCAGAGAAACTGTAGGGTCCATGCCCTCACCACTATCTCCCAGCCCCTGGTTCCTTCCTTCCTTCCTCTTTTTTTTTTTTTTTTTTTTTTTAAGATTTTATTTACTTGTCAGAGAGCTCGCTCGCACAAGCAGGGAGAGCGGCAGGCAGAGGGAGAAGCAGGCTCCCACTGAGCAAGGAGCCCGAGTTGATCCCAGGACCTTGGGATCATGACCTGAGCCAAAGGCAGATGCTTAACCAACTGAGCCACCCAGGTGTTCCCCCGGTTCATTTCTTGGATAGGGAAACTGAGGCCCCACACGACAGAGGAAATGTCTTACCTTCTCAGTGGCAGTGTTGAGCTGAACTTGGGTCTTACTAGGATCCCAGAACATGGTCTTTCTTAGAATTTGGAACCTCAGACTTTCTCTAGGCTGCAGGACTTAGGGTCCCGCAAGGCTGTAGGTAGGGGTAGGATTCAGGGCAGAGTTGCTCTGACGGGGCTCAAATCCTACTTCTGGCATTTGCTGGCTGTGTGATCTGGTATCAGTCACTCACCTCTCTGAGCCTGTATTTCTCCACTTGCTGATTTGTTGGCTATTATTGGCAATAGTAGTAGAATAATTATGATTAATCCAGAAGGTGGGTGTTATCTAAGTCCTAGAATATAAGGTCCTCCCAAGGTTCTAGAACAAGGGCTTCTCATGGTTCTGGCATTCAGGTCCCCCTGGAGTTCCCAACCTCTGCCCCCCTCCCCCACTAAGTTTTTACCCTCATCTCTAACCCCAGCTTCCCTCTTTATCCTCAGGTGCTCAGCGAGATGCTCCCCAGCCCCTCCTGCTCCCTCCCCATCCTCCTCCTTTTCCTCCTCCCCAGTGTCCCAATGGAGTCCCATCCTCCACCCTTACCACTGCCCCCATTTCTAGCCCCTGAATGGGACCTCCTGTCCCCCCGAGTAGTCCTGTCCAGGGGCACCCCCGCTGGACCCCCTCTGCTATTCCTATTGGAGGCCGGGGCCTTTGGGGAGCCAGCAGGCAGCCCCGCCAACCGCAGTCGGCGAGGGGTGAGCGAGACAGCACCAGCAAGTCGCCGGGGAGAGCTGGCTGTGTGTGATGCGGTCAGTGGCTGGGTGACGGACCGCCGGACAGCCGTGGACCTGCGCGGGCGTGAGGTGGAGGTGCTGGGCGAGGTTCCTGCGGCTGGAGGCAGCCCTCTCCGCCAGTACTTCTTTGAGACCCGCTGCAAGGCTGACAGCGCTGCTGAGGAAAGTGGCCCTGGTGGGGGTGGGGGAGGCTGCCGGGGTGTGGACCGGAGGCACTGGGTGTCTGAGTGTAAGGCCAAGCAGTCCTACGTGCGGGCATTGACCGCTGATGCCCAGGGCCGTGTAGGCTGGCGATGGATTCGAATTGACACTGCCTGCGTCTGCACGCTCCTCAGCCGGACTGGTCGGGCCTGAGGCCCCTGCTCAGGAACTGGGCAGGCAGAGGAAGAAGACAGCTGGATGCTGAGGGACCTCAGGGGCGGCCTGACTGCTCTAGGCCTCAGTTTGGGAACTTGTGAAATGGTCACAAAATCACAGCTTTCTGAGTTGGAGAGCTCAATCCATGCAAGACAGGTGGTGAAACCAAATGGGGTTTTGAAGGATGAATAGGAGTTCTTCTGGATGAACTTGAGGATGAGGATGATGATATCCAATACTTTCTGAGTGTCTGCCGTTGATCAGTGCTAATACACAATCTGTCAGATCAACTCTGGTGGATTTAACCATTGGAGAAACCTTGGCTTCTAAGTTGCTAACTGCTTGATCTCGGAGGACATCTTGCTCACCCTGGAGAGAGTGACAAGGAAGTGATACATCAAGAAGTGGTGGGGGAGTATAAAAGCGGACACATAAGCAACCAGCTGGGAGCTGGGGTTTGAATGAGATATCTTACTTGGTCACATGGGGAGAGTGTTGGCTTAGAATGTTCTGTCTTAAGGTAGTAAGCTAGCCATCACAGTAGGAGCACAAGCAAGGTTGAATGATAAGAGGTCAGGGTGCTGGAGAGTTTAACCCTGTTGGGGAGTTTCTGTCCCAACTTTTACCTCATCTTGGGAAAGAGACAGACCTTAGAATCATCCAGCTTGAGTATGGTATAAAATTCGGACCAATTGACCTGACTCCTGGCTAGGATCAGGGGTCATGTGGACAGTGGAAGGCTTTGAGTGGTCCAATAAAATCCAAAAGAAGAAGTAGCCCCAGGGGCCTGAACGAGAGGTTCAGTGGGACCTGGGGTCAGGTTGCAGAAGATAGCCTCAGTTTTCCCCATCTGAAGAATGGGTTAGTGGGATGAGCTACTGGGAGCTGAGAAGCCAGAGCCCTTGACCAAAAGGTCTTTAAAGTAAGGAAGTGACAAGGGAAGTCAGGAGTAGACCCCACACCTTCAGGATACCCCCTTCATGTATCACCAGTCCATACCTTAAGCCTGTTGCCAACACACACACACACACACACACACACACACACACACACACTATCTTTTAGAACCGGCTTTAGGCTAAGGACTGAGACCATAGACACACCCCCACCCCATTCCTCCGCCAACACAGACTGGGTCCCTGGGAAGGGTAAGAGTGGGCGGTTCCAGCTGCCTCTGTTTCTACATCTCTGTGTTTCTAGGTCTGTGGTTCCCACTCTCCTTTTTGTCACCTCCCTCTCTGTCTCTTGTGTCTGGGTCAGTAGCTCTCTGTCTCTGTTTCTCATTCACTCTTTCTCATCCATTCTTGCCTGTGTTTCTCATCAAAGTTCTTTCCACATCCCCTCCCCTCTCTTCTTGCTAAGTATTTCCCTGTGTCTGTGTCTGTGTCTGTGGGTCTCTCCCTCGTCACCCACCCCCATATCCAGGTGGAAGTTTTCAACAAAATCAAAGGCAGGCAGGACAGACGAAGGCCAAGCCCTGGGCTGACGCCTCCAGCTCACACAGGGAGGGAGGGAGAGCCCTGGGGAAGTCTGGAAATCGTTACCCCTGAGGTAGGCAGGCCTGGCAGAGGGAGGAGGGGGCTGGGAGAGTTGGGACCCCGTAGGAAAGGGGACTGCTTCTCATGGATTCCCTGATGGCAGTGGGTGGTCTCCATCCTCCTCCCCCTCCGGGTCTCCGTCTCCCCCAGGCCGGGTTCTCTGTGTCTCTAAAATTCCCTACAATTTGAGCTATTCCCCCTTCCTCCCTCCTCCCCCTTTCGACCTTTCACTCTCTCTCTGGGACTCCCCTCCCCCATTTCTCTGAGTTTCTGTGCCCTTCCCTCAAAGTCCCAGTCCCTCTGAGCCTGGGTTTCTTTCTTACACTGTCCAACCATTCACACACCTGCAGGCCTTCCATTGGCTGAGCTCAGGGTGGGCGGGTTCTGTTACCTGGGGCAACAGGAACAACAAGCCTGCCCCGGCATGGCTCTCCCGCAGCGGTGGGACCATGGCTGGTCGGACCCTAGCTCTGCGCTACGGTCCCCCATGGTCCCCAATCTCTGGGACCGAGGTGCCTGGATCCTGGCCCAAATGGCGTCTCACCAGCAGTGGTGTCGCCCACCACATTATCCCGCCTGTGTCCTTTCCCCCGCCCACTGTGCAGGTGAGAGGACCCTAGGTTCCTGGGCAGAAGGAGGCTGGGGGCCCAGGCTCCTGTGTCTGAAGGAGAGGCCTAGGGGTCCAGACACCTGCCGAGAGAAAAGGGGGTTGGGGCGCGGGCTCCACTCTGACTGAAGGAGGAGTGTCCCCGAGTCCTGGATCTGAAAAAAGAGGGTCCAGGGAATCTGGATGCCTGGGACTGGAGGGAGGAAAGGGTTGGAGACCGACTGGGAGAGATCAGGGCTCGCGGGCCGGACTTGACCCTTTTAGCTGACGTCCTTCTTCCCAGTCCACGGTCGCGGAGCCCCTGCCGCCGGCCGCCAAGCAGGATTTGCACATCTGGGATTTTGATGAGGTCATCAGCAGATGGGAGACAACCTCTGGCTCGGCTTACGTGCCTAAGAAGCACGGCGGGCCCTACGCACAGCCTAGGGCCCCAGAGCCTTCGGACCCCACGAGGACTGTGGGGATCAAGGATTTAGACGAAAAGGTAACGTTCTGGGATGCAGAGGTCCGCAGGGGACAGAACTGGGGATGGCACTGGAGTACCGCGCACCCTCACGTTGGATCTCCGCGTCGCCTTCCCGCAGCTCAGACACCGTGGCTGGCGCCTCCCGCTGATCACGAAGCACCAGTGCAGTGAGATGCGGGCGCAGTACACGGGCTGGCCCGACCCGGATCAGCAGCGCCCCACCTTCTACGTCGGGCCCCAGCCCCTGGAGCTTGCGGAGCACCTTCGCGGAGGCCCTTCCCAGGTAGAGGAGAACACCCGTTGCCACCGTGGGAAAGAGCTTGTAGCGCCTGGGGAGGGGTCGGAGGGGCTCTGCGGCTAGGGACCAGGCTAGCAGACCCTGGGGTGGAGAATTTTGAGTCTGGGGTCGTGGGCAAAAGGTCTGGAACGGAATCAGGTTACAGAGTCTGGGGGTGGAGCTTGGACCTTTTGAGGTAGGGTCAGGAGGAGGAGGAGGGGCCTGGAGACCGAAATCCCAGCTCTGAGGCTGAGGCCACCGCCAGTAAATCCCGGGTGGGCGGGGGCTTGTCTAGGAGGGAGTTTGGAGGCAGGGTCCGGGCGCGGGGGCGTTCGGTACGTGGGGGCGGGTCTTGAACTTTCAGAGCCAAGGTCGGGAGGCGGGGCTAGGCTTTCCCGGAGCGGACGAGCAAAAAGGAAAGGTGGCCCGAGGTGCGACTGAATTCCAGTGGCGGGAGGTGGAAGCCAGGGGTCTGGGGGCGGAGCTGGGAAGGTTTTTTTTGTGGTTGGGGCCTGGGCTTTGTGTTCGATGACCCGCAAGTGTTTGGATTTTGGAGTAACCCTAATAAGGGTTCTGATATGGGGAGCGAAGCTAAAGTGCGCTAGCTTGCGATTGGTCAGGAAGGATTCGGATACTTGGGGCGTGAGGGTCTGTTGGGTCGAAGCGGAATCCTGAGTCTAGCGACCCAGGGCCTGGAATGCGGTATGAAACCTCTTTCTTGCTCATCCCTCCTCCCTGGATCCTCCTCAGGCTTTAATCCCTTGGACAAAGAACCCCGAGCTGGCCGGCCGGCCTTTCACAGTGTCTGACCAGGGCATCTTGGACCGCCGTCAGCTCTATCTGACCACCTCGGCCAAGGACTTCCGGGCCTACCCGAAGTGAGCCTGGGTCCTCGCTCGGCGCCGCCCCCCAACGTAGGCCGGCGGGCCGCCGAACCCGGGTGTCGGCTCCCCCTTGTCCGACTCAGGAGCCTCAGCCTTCAGCTCTCGCACGCTGAAGAAACCGAAGTTCAGACCTCAGCCCCTACCTTTTTTAGCGCCCAGGTTTCCTTAGTGTCAACTCTCAGGAATACGAAACCTGCCGCTTGCCCAAGAAGGGGTTCGGGACCAGGGGCGGGACCCTGAGGGTCCAGGGCGGGGCCTGTTTTGGTTCCCAGATACTCCTTCCCTTGGATTCGAAAACTGCAGATCCCAGGCCCTTAAGGACCTCCAGGACCCAGGAATCCAGGCTGGGGGTCCCCAGCCCCTATCCTTTCTGAGGGGTCTCCGAATCCTACAAATGTGTCTTTGCCTCGAAACACAGGAGTTCAGGTCTACAGGTTCCGCAGAACGCGAGGTCTGAACCTCAGCCTTGTCCCTAGGAACCAACTGTGCCTTCCCTCTCCTGCCTCTCTCACCCAACAGGAAGGAGTTGTCTGGATATCCCCGCAAGGACTCGCTGACCTCCTGGAGCTTTGACAAGACGCCTCAGGCCTGGGGCCATGACCCACAAAGGCCACCCTGTCCGCGCCCCTCTCGGCCGCCAGGGATCCGCGTGCCCCACGTCCACCCGGTGACGACTGCAGTGCCACACCGCGGGGCGCTGTCTTTGGCTCAGGAGTCCTACAGACCCCCGCTGCACCCCCTCCTCGGGTTCGACCGTTTCTGCCCGCTGGAGCTGCCCTGGGGCGGCCCCCACTGGAAGCCGATGTCGGGGATCTACAGCGTGCCGCAAGCCTACCGCACTGAGAACTCCACCTACGGCAGCATGAAGCCAGCGGGGGTCTGAGCCCGCAGCGCCAGCCCCGCCCTGGACACGCCCCCCCTCCCCGGGCACCGAGCTAGAGGACCGCGACTGGTAGCACATTGGGCGGGGCTAAGATCGGGAACCCCGCCCATTACGTGGGAGTGAGACCAGGACCCGCCCACTAAGTCGTGGGCGGGGCGACTCCCCATACTTGACCACACTGCTGACGGGGGCGGGGGGGACGGGGCAGGGAGGTGGGAGCTGAGCGAGAAAAATGAACTTTGGGGCTGTGGGCTCGCGGGCGGGACACGCCCTCTGCGACAGAGGGGGCAGAGCTTCTTAGTCAACGACAGAGTTAAATAGCCTAAACCATGCCCGTTGCTG